TCAAACAATGGGGCAGCTCTTGGCCTTGAAGAGCAGGGACAAACATGGTTTGGGTTCTTGAGCAGTGAAAATGTGGGGTCACCTTCCCCAAATGAACCAGCAACCTGGGCACAGCTCAGAACACAAACCACCAAATTACCCCTCTAGAGATGAGGGGATATTCCCTCTGCAGAAACCACACCTTGCTGGGCACCACAATGGGCTCAGCCAAGACTGGAGGCAATGGGGTGAGGCTGAGATGTGGGGTGCAAACAATAGGGCCTTGAAGAGCGAGGACAAGCCTGGTGTGGGTTCTTGAGCAGTGAAAAGTGTGGGGTGACCTTCCCCAAACCAACCAGCAAACTGAGCACAGCTCAGAACACAAACCACCAAATTACCCCTCTAGAGATGGGGGGATATTCCCTCTGCAGACGGGGCCCAAGAGCATCCCTCTCTTGCACAGAAAATCAAAGATTTGCCATTTAGCCAGCACATCACACAAAAGCATCACCTACCAGGGCTTTGTGCATCCACTCATGACCTGGGACAGAAACCTCAAACCTCCCCTGACACTGTGCATGAGGCTCATCCAGAAGAATTAACCTTGTAAGTCTAAGAGGGTAATCAAATCTCATGCTCCAGGGCATAAGCCGATCACCAAAGGGGTCAGGAAGGAATTACTGCCCCACACTAGCAGGGGATTTTTTGCCTTTCCCCTGATGTAAACCATATTGGCAGTTGCCAGAGTCAGCAGCCTGGCCCTGAAGGACTGACGGCCTGATCTGTTGTGGCAAATCCTCTGCAGTAATTCCTCTAATGACATTAGTGACTCTTACTTGCTCCTCTCCTCCCCTGGTTCTGGCTGCTGCTGGAATTCACAGAATCACACACTGGGTTGGGTTGGAAGGGATCTAAAAGCTCATCTTGTCCCACCCCACGTTCTCCCACTATCCCAGGCTGCTCCAAGCCCTGTCCAGCCTGGCCTTGGACATTTCCAGGGATGGGGCAACCACAGCTCCTCTGTGCCAGGGCCTCCCCACCCTCACAGGGAAGAATTTTCTCCTGATATCCAACCTAAACCTCCTTATTTTCAGTTCAAAACCATTCTCCCTTTGTCCTGTCACTCCAGGTCCTTGTCCAAAGTCCCTCTCCAGCTTCCCAGAGCCCTTTTAGATCTCCATGGAGCTTTCTCCAGGCTGAACAGCCCCAGCCTGGCTCCAGAGCATCTCCATGGCCTCCTCTGGACCCACCCCAGCAGCTCCAGGAGCCACCAGGCATGCCAAGAAGCCACCCAGCATGCCAAGGAGCCACACCAGCATGGCAAGGACCCACCAGGACATGCCAAGGAGCCACAAGGACATGCCAAGGAGCCACCAGGACATGCCAAGGAGCCACCCAGCATGCCAAGGAGCCACACCAGCATGGCAAGGACCCACCAGGACATGCCAAGGAGCCACAAGGACATGCCAAGGAGCCATTAGGACATGCCAAGGAGCCACCCAGCATGCCAAGGAGTCACCAGAACATGCCAAGGAGGCACCAGGACATGCCAAGGAGCCACAAGGCACGCCAAGGAGTCACCCAGGCATGCCAAGGAGCCACCCAGGAATGCCAAGGAGCCACCAGGCATGCCAAGGAGCCACACTAGCATGGCAAGGAGTCACCAGGACATGCCAAGGAACCACCAGGCACGCCAAGGAGTCAACCAGGACATGCCAAGGAGGCACCAGGACATGCCAAGGAGCCACACCAGCATGCCAAGGAGCCACCAGGCATGCCAAGGAGGCACCAGGATGTGCCAAGGAGGCACCAGGACATGCCAAGGAGCCGCCCAGGAATGCCAAGGAGCCACAAGGACATGCCAAGGAGCCACCCAGGCATGCCAAGGAGCCACCAGGACATGCCAAGGAGCCACCCAGGGATGCCAAGGAGCCACACCAGCATGGCAAGGAGTCACCAGAACATGCCAAGGAGCCACCCAGCATGCCAAGGAGGCACCAGGACATGCCAAGGAGCCACCAGGCATGCCAAGGAGCCACCCAGGAATGCCAAGGAGCCACCAGGCATGCCAAGGAGCCACCAGGACATGCCAAGGAGCCACAAGGACATGCCAAGGAGCCACCAGGATGTGCCAAGGAGCCACCAGGCACGCCAAGGAGCCACACCAGCATGGCAAGGAGTCACCAGGACATCTAAGGAGCCACCCAGGCATGCCAAGGAGATACCAGGACATGCCAAGGAGCCACCAGAACATGCCAAGGAGCCACACCAGCATGGCAAGGAGTCACCAGGCATGCCAAGGAGGCACCAGGACATGCCAAGGACCCACCAGGACATGCCAAGGAGCCACAAGGACACGCCAAGGAGCCACATCAGCATGGCAAGGAGTCACCAGGACATGCCAAGGAGCCACCAGGATGTGCCAAGGTGCCACCCAGCATGCCTGCAGCACTCCTTTACCATGCAATGTCCCATCTTCCTGCATGTCCTTTTTTCCCAGAGAAAGGGAGCAGTGAAATCTGATGGCAAAGCTGTGCTGGTGACCAATTCAGCTGCGGCTCTGCTGCCACCCATTTGATCAGGCTGCTTTCTGAGAGCAAGGCAAGATGTGCTGCACTGGGCTGGGGAGTGAAGCTCCTGGGCTGGGTTTTGGAAGAACCAGCCAGGGAAGAGCAGTGTCCCCCAGCCCAGGGAACTGGGATTTGGGGACACCAGAGGGGCACTAAAGCCATCACACCCAGCCCAGCAGAGCAGCTCCTGCTGCCAAATCCCACCCAGGGCTCATCCCTCATCCCTCAGGAACATCCCATCACTCAGCTGCTGCCTCCTTCCTTCCCCCAAGGTCTATCCAGCCATTCCCCTCCAGCATTTCCAATTATTTTCCATTTGTCTGAACAAGGCTCCAGTCACTGCAGATCCCTCACTCCCCTGTGCACCCCATAAAATCCACTCCAGATCCTCCAACAACCCCTGAGGCTCTGTTTCCTCCTCAGGATGGATATAAACAGCCCCAGGAGCAACTGGGACATCAGCAGAAATATCTGATGCTCACCCCAGCCCCCACCACCAAGTTATAATGAGGAAAATCTGCCATTTCCTATTGTTTTGCTGAGGAGCAATAAAGTGGTTCATCCAATTCTGTTCTCTGACACTCTTTAAGGATTAGGAATATATCCACATGGTTTTTTCCTGGTTTTTTCTGTTTTTCTAGAGTGAAAGTGGCAGGAAAGAAGCATGGCAGCTCATGCTGGACTAAAGGCAGCTTGGATCTGCTGGAGCACAGAAAGCAAAGCCTGGAAGTCCTGTGGTAATGGGAAATACATGGACAGAACCATCCCAGAGCAAACCTGAGCTGGCAAAGTGCTGCTGCTCCAGCACTCCAGTTTAAGGAACATGGAAATTTGGGAATAATCTGCTGGTTTTTGTTTTCCCTCTGAGATATATGAATACATTCCTGCACACATGCACATGCGTGTCTTGGGCTTGGCTTCAAAAGAGCCCAAGGAAAAAAGCCCTGGAGTCATTTAAGTCTACAATTGAGGAGGAAGGAAAAAAAAAAAGGGAATAATTTGAGTTGTTTGCGTTCAGCAAAATGGATACTTGTTGTGGCTGTTTTTTATTGGAAAAACCACATGGAAAATGTCAACTGAAATATATTTTCTGCAAGACAAAAATAAATTAAAAAAAAAAAGGGAGGGGGGAACTAACTAAGTGGAGAAGATACTTTCTTCTGGAAAAGCACTTAGATGGAAACAGCTCCAGGAGCTCCAAGGCGAGGAGCAACGCCTGGATCTGCCTGGATCCGGCCTAAATCTCAGCTTGTTTTATGGAATGGGAGAAGCACAGCTCTGACAGCCCAGAGTGGGATGGAAATGGGAAATTTTGGAGCCCCCGAGGGCAGCAGGGTGAGGAGGAGGAGCAGGGACACAGCACTGACCTGCCGGTTGCGCTCGTCCGTGATCCGCTGGATCTGGATCTTTTTCCTCCCCATCTTCTCGGCAAATCCTCAGCACAGCCGGGACCACTGGGGCTCAGGGAGGGGAGCAGCAACCCCACTTTAGGATGCTTGCATCCAAGAGCCTGGGGGGGCTTTTCTCTCAGGCAGAAAACAAACCCCAAAAAAAAAAAGCCAAAACAAAAAAAAAAAATATTTCGGCGC